CCCCCCCCCCCTCTCTCTCTCTCTCTCTCTCTCTCTCTCTCTCTCTCTCTCTCTCTTTCTCTCTCTCTCTCTCTCTCTCTCTCTCTCTCTCTCTCTCTCTCCCTCACTCTCTCTCTCTCTCTCTCTCTCTCTCTCTCTCTCTCTCTCTCTCTCTCTCTCTCTCTCTCTCTTCCCTTTGTAAGTCCTTTCTGTTGTGTTGACTTGCGTTTCACAGAAATTAAAATTTCCCCCCACCCCCCCCCTCCAAAAAAATCCCCACTCCTCCGGCCAATCTCGTCCTCAGCTGGACCTGGGCAACTGGAGTCGAACCCTGGGCTCTGTCATCATCATGCTGGCCACGCTGATGGTTATCTACTCTGTCTTTGGCATCATCGCCTCACTCAGCAAAAAGATGATTCTTGTCATTATCGTAAGTGATCGTAATGGGTGGTTGGAAGGTGCTCTGGTGTGGTTGGCTCCTTCTTTCCTTACAAACGTCTACCGTCCTTATCTCTCCTCCTTCTTTTTTGTGTATGTTACTCTCTTGTAACACATATATTCTTCTGAACTTAAATGACCTTATTGTGTTGCAAGTGCCGTAAAATTCTCATGAAAAAAGTATGTGAGTGTTTTGTCCGTCCTGTGATTAGTTCACAAACTGTGTGTATTCCCTCTGACACATAGTGTATGTTTTAATTGCAAAGTACCCCCCTCCCCTTTTTTCGAAACCAAAAAACAAACAAACAAACCCAAATCAACACAAAAATTTACGACATTTTGGAGGCAGATTGTTTTGACCTTTCCTCTCAAAGCCGACAGACAGACAGACAGACAGACAGAAAGACAGAGAGACAGACAGACAGACAGACAGACAGACAGACAGACAGACAGACAGACAGACAGGTAGACAGATAGATAGATAGATAGATAGATAGATAGATAGATAGATAGATAGATAGATAGATACAACATACTTTTTGAAAAGCTGTATAACATCATTATGTACCAAAGCATGTTAGTGCGTTCTGTAGATTTTGCCGATGACATTGACCTTTAAAACACTGTAGTGCGTGAAATGCAATTAAAAACCAACAAATTTACAAAATCTGCAGAAAAGGTCGGTCCTGTAAAAAAAAGTTAAACAGAAGTGTTGTGATTATCACCAGAAACTTCTCCCGTCACGCTTTATGGAAAACCTCTTGCAATTTTTTTAGAAAACTAAGTACATAGGCAACATTATCTCCAAAACTGCAGACTACACTGGCGATACCCGCTAGAGACACAAAAATATGTTGGTTGTTTTTGTTGAATTTAAAACCAGCCGATATTCAAAAATTTTAATCTCATAGAAGACTAAATTGAAGATTTAGGATAGCAGTGTTTTTGTCTGCACTGATGTAAGGTTCAGAGATATAGAAAACAACCAGAACATTTTAACAAAAAAAATCAAAGGTTTTGAAATTATGTGTTTTTAAAGAATCTGATTATAGAATGAATTTAGTATAAAATATTGAAACGTTGGAAGGAGCTTGAATAGGAGATATCAACACGACCTTTTGGAAGAAAAGGAAGAAGAAAGTGGAGGTTACAGAAACACAAACAAGGACGAGACAGTAACTAAAGGCTTAGGTGTTCCAAGAATAGAGTGGATGGTTGGCGGGTGCTCTGGTGTGGTTTGCTTCTTCTTTCCTATCAAACATCTACCGCCCTTATCTCCCCTTCTTCTTTTTTTAGGTTTTGTTTCTCTCTTGTAACACGTCTAATCTCCTGGCGCTCATATGACCTTATGCAGTTGCGAGCGCCGTAAAACCTCTACTAACTACTACTTCAAGAATAGAGGAGGTGGCCACGGATGGCAACCGTGTGAGAGGGGGAGAGAGAGAGAGAGAGAGAGAGAGAGAGAGAGAGAGAGAGAGAGAGAGAGAGAGAGAGAGAGACTGCTCTCTGCCTCATTATAATGTAGCCTACTTGACGATACAGGCAGAGAGCAAGAACCTATGTATGTGCGTATGTGTGCTTATGCGTGTATGTATATATTATGTGTGTATATATATATATATATATATATATATATATATATATATATATATATATATATATAAATATT